TTGCAGGCCAAATCCAGCCACTGCCTGTTCTTGCACAGCTCTTGACCAAGAATGATTTTTACATTTTTTGAATGGGTGGTAAAATTAAAAGATGAATAATATTTTGTGACACAACAAAATGAGACGAAATTCAAATTTCAGCGTCCCCAAAATTTCACTGGAACAGCCACACCCACTCACTCGCATCGTACTGGTGGGCTTTAGCGCTGCAGCAGCGGTCGTGACAGACCCCGCATGTCCCCAAAGCCTAGAACATTTACTATGTGGCCATTTACAGAAAGTTTGCCGAGCCCTGGCCCCTGCCTTCTTTCTCTACCCTGAGGAGGAAAGCAAGGCGCTGCGAGCGGCCGCCAGGTGTCAGCATCGCCCCGCGTGCTCTCAGCTCCGCGCTCCGCGGGGACCCGCAGCCTCGGGTTCTGCGCCCCGACCCGCGCCGGTCCTGGGGCTCCTCCCGGTCCATCCGGGGAGACACCGGCTGTCGTCGCCGCCGGCGAGTGCGCGGAAAGGGCTGGAAGAAAGCTGAGGAGGGTCTGGAGCCGCACGGGGGTTCAGGGCTGGCTCGTTAGCCCGGTGGCTTGGCGCGGGTCGGCAGGCTTTTCTGATGTGCTATTTGTTTGGTTTGGGTTTAATTCGTATTTTATATATGAAGGAGTCTCCAAACAAACAAAAATTGTTTATTTTTACCCAAAACTATCAGTCAAGAAAAGTTTGGGACTTTTGCACAACCAGATAAGGCGGTGGCCCTCTTCCAGGCCCCCTGATAACAAACCTACAGAGCTGAGGGGGGTCCGCGGGGGTCAGCGGGCACGGGCGTAACTCAGGCCCTGCTGAGCTGAGGGCTCACAAGTGGCATCTCTGGAAATTTTCTCCATCTTTCTTTCAAAACCTGGGCCTCCTAACTTCTTCCAGGTGGATGAGCATTTAGGCCGGTGTGCCAAGTACTGGACATGAAAGTGGCCATTTTACCGGGAGGGAGCAGGGTAGAGAATCCAGGAGAGAATGTCCCGAGAAGGAAGTGATAACCCCCCATATAACACAACGGAGGCATCAGCCTTTACAGAGCTCCTCCTCTACGTCAGCCGCTGTGCTGAGTGCTTTACTCCCCAGGGCCTCTTGAGGGTGGTACCAGGATTATCCCCATTTTACTTGGATGGATGTGGAGCAGCTTACAGGGTCATTTAGCTAATATGTGGCAGAGTGGGGAATCCAGCCCGAGCCTGCCCATTCCGCACTGTCCTCTTGCTGCCGCAAGCCTCAGCTAAGATCACAGCAAGCAGGTTGACACCCCCCCCGCCCCCCGCCGCCGCTGCCCTAAATCTGCGACGGCCTGCCTCACGTTCATCCCCAGGCCTAGTGCACAGTAAATACCTGCTGAGTGAACAAATGTATAAAGCCTTCCAAGTACTGCAGTGAAGGGCCTCTCCTTGTTCAATCGCCCAACTTCCAAGGCCTTCCAGGAGGAGACCAGCCAGGATGTCCAAGCGGCACTCAGGAAATAAGGGTCACCAGGCACGGTTCTTGGCTCAGCACAGGATGGGATGTGCTTTTCCCTTGCTCGTGCCCAGAGGACCATAGCCTCTGCAGGCATACCGCCTGTCTTGCCCTTTCCTCCCTTCGTCCTCCAGGCCCCCCACACACTTGCTGCCTTCTGTGGCAGGTCCTAGCTGGTCCCTATGACATGGACATCTGTTCCTAGAGCTGCTTTCTAGTGGCTGCAGACAGTGCCTAACTTCTAGCCACTTTTCTGATGAAAACTTGTCTCCAGCTGGCTGTCACTTGGAGAGGCCACATGATGCAGTGACAGTGCCCTCCTAGAGGGTCCGGATAACCAGGTTCTAGCCCTTCTCATGACTTGCTGAGTGACTTTGGACAGATTTCCTCACCTCAAGGCCCATCTCTTCCTCCCCTGCTTTCGTGCTAGCCTTTGAAAGAAGCATGCAGACAGGGTCATCCGTGAGCAGCCAGAGAGGCCTGGAGACCCGGGTGACTGGGAGATGAAGACTGTCTGCTGAGGACATGCACTGAAAGGAGAAGCCTTCCTGGAGGAAAGAATTTGATAAGGAAGGACTTCAAAGTCCTTAAGAAATTAAATCCTGTTTGGCTTCCATGTACAATTTCAGGAGTCAGGAACAAAAGTGAAAGGGTCATGATCAATTGCAGAGCCTCTGACACCATCCACATTGAGTAGCCTGGCTTATTCTCTGTATCACATGGTTGTCAAGTGTTCAATCATTTAACGAGTCGTTATTAAGCAGATACTGTGGATACGATAGTGAGGCGGAAAGACAGTGTCCTGGTCTCCAGGCACAGAATGGGTATCTGTTGTGCCAGGCAGCAGCAGAAGCTGTCAGAAGCAGGGCCTTCCTCGGTTCGGAGCTGGGAAGGCAGAGGCTTCGCAGAGGAGGGGTGAGAAGTTCAGGCCTGCCTAACTTTTCAAAGCCTTCTGGCTGATCCAACGATGACTCGCCCTGAGAACACTCTCACATCTGCGCCTGCCACCTCTCAACCTTTCCTAAGGTGCGCATCCTCTCAAGCTTGGTCTGGCTCAGCTCGCTGAGCCCGGGATGCCTGTTCTGTACCAGACCTCCTGCCACTGGAACAGCAGTGCAGACAATCACAGTGACAGCCGCAGAGTCCTCCAGGCAGGGAGGAATGACGGTGGTGCACAGCCAGGTGATAACCTATATGCACGGTGCATGGCAGGGCTCAACAGCTGCTAAGGGGGCTTTGTCAGAACGGAACGTGGTTGTGGTACCCCAAGTAGCAATCCCCACCTGGCCTGCGTTGAGGAGCGTGGAAGTCTCTCTACTGTCGGCCCTGGCTGCCTTTTGAGGTGGGGACACTGCTGGGCACACACGGGAATGTCCAAGGGTACTCTCTGTGTAGGACTTTAACTGGGACTGAAGGAAGGGGAACAGATTGGGAGGAAACGTGGCAGGGCTCTGGGTGGAGTAAGACAGATGTGTGCATATAAACATACCTGTTCCGCAGAGTCCAAGGCGGGCAAGAGCTAAGCAAGGTAACCAGAACAAGGACGGAAGATGCTATTGTGTCAGTCACAGAAAGCAAGATCTTTGGCAAGTCAGCCAGCCTCTCTGGGCCAAAGAGATCAGTCAAAGAGAACTGTTTTGCAGGATGTAAGCACGGAAAGCAGCTCAGGCAGGAGCCCGTGGCCCTTCAGGGCTCAATGCAAAGAGCTCTTTCTCAACTGGGGCGATTCTAACCCCCAGGGACACTTGGAGATGTCTGGAGACATTTTTGGCGGTCTCATCTGAAGGGGTGCTACTGGTAGTTGGTAGGAAGAGGCCGGAGGCGCTGCTAAACATTCTACCACGTGTAGGACAGCCTCTCCTCCCACAGAGAATTTTGTATCTGAAGTGTCACTGGCGTTGAAGGCAGGAAACCCTGAGTTGGGGGGGCAGGCTAGATCTGCACTTTATGTGCTGTGGGATTTGGGGAGAACAATGCACCTCCTCATCTGAAAAACGGGGGTGGTAAGGCCCAAGCTGCTCATCACACAACTTCGTGAGGCTCAATCTCCAAATACACAGGAGAACTTTTTGTTAACTTTGTAAAGGGCCTCTTCCTGAGCTTTTCTTAGTTTGAAACCTGCAGGTGACTGAGGGAGGCATCTAGCACGGTGACTAGCATATAGTAGGTGTTCAATAAATTAAAAAGAGGAAAGCGTCATAGCAAAAAAAAAAAAAAAAGTCTCCCCCGTAACCCCTCCCCTCCCCCCGGGCCTGTTTCCTCCATATCTCAAGGCTGCCTTTGTGGTCCAGCTTTTCTATTAGGGTCCAAACAGGCACGGGACACTGCTGTTGGCAGAGGCGGTCTCAGAAGCACCCCTGAAGGATCAGGGCTAGGGCTAACCATACCCCAAGGACAGCTGACAATGAGACTGGGAAGTTTTGCCAATGTCATGGGAAAGCCTCCCAGCTCCGTGCAGGGGTCCTGGGCTTCCTGCTCCTACGGGGCGAGGTCTAGGGTGGCAGCAGCCCTGGGGTCTCAGCCCTCAAGTGCCTCTGCTCATCTGAGGTCGGCCTCTCAAGGAGCTGTGCCATTTGTTGGCACTCAACCTACAGAGGCCGTACTCAGAAAGTGGGCAGCTTGGTGGTGGGGTGAGATGGGGCCAGCGAAGCCAGGCCCCGCACCCAGAGTACTGTTTCCTCCCTGTTCCTCCTGGAGCCCTTCTGATGTTACCAGCCTTGTGGAAGCTGCTGCAGAGGGACCAAGGGCATGATCCATCCTTGAACTTGCCATCCAACTGGGAAGGCCAGATGTCCCCTTGAGATTTGATGACAGAGAGACTATTTCACAAAGTATGTGCCAAGTGCTGGAACAGAGGGCAGACGCACTAAAAAGTGAGGAGCCGAGAGGCAGAACGGAGGGGCTGGAGTTTAGGCAGACAAGCTGCATTTGAGGTCTTCAGGATCCTCAGCCACCTTTGGACTCTCGTCTCTTCCCGAGCATCTTAGAGCTGGAGGGGGTCAGAGACCACCTCGCTGAAACCTCTGTAAGGAAGGGGAGAGGTGCCCCACCTCACAGGCCAGCACTCTTCCCGTGGCACTGCGTTGCTTCCTTTTTAACACATGGTCTCCCATCCTGCTTGGTTTCTCTGAAGAGAGTGAGAATGACCCCACGCTGGTGCAGGGAGAAGCCGGGGCAGGACAGCCAGCCAGGCTCAAGGCTGCAGCGACTTGGAACTTCCAGTCCAGAGCCTCCTGCATGTGAAGGCAGGGGAGGAACCGGGCTTGCTTTGGGTCAGGAGATGGGAAAGGGATTCCGTGGGCCTGCTTCTCTCTCAGGCGAGGCACAATCGCTTAGGAGCTGGTCCCCTCCTCTGGCCTCCCCACTTGCCCCAGAGGTGTCCACTCTGCTCACCAAGAGTGCTCTCTCCACCCAAACACTTTGAGATGAGGTGTAACCCCTGCCCCTCGTTTTCCACCTCCCTCTCCCTTCCTCTCCAGAACAAGCAGGGCCATATCACCAGGCCTTGGTGCATAAGGAAGCACTTCCCAGCAAGGGTTTAATCCTCACAGACGCTCATGGAGGTGGGTCAGGGTCCCTCACCCCCCAAGAACCAGGTTCACCCTTCCTTCCCCTGCCCCTCCCACCACCCAGCGGGGAGACCAGGCTCCTCTCAGGATGCTCGCTGGTCCCCTTGCTCCCTCTCCCGTCAGGCGCTAGCAGGTACCGGGGCCCCGCCCCAAGGTGCTGCTGGTGCCCCAGGGTTTTGCAGAAGGAAAGATGTGAGGACGAGAGTTTGGCTCAGAAGCAGGAGGCTGAGCGTGGTGCTTTCTCAGGTACTGCAGCCCCCGGCTCTCCAGGCCTCCGGCCCCTGGCCGGAAGCAAGGCCGGCCACAGAGCCTGCGGTTCGGCAGTTTCCCGGCCGTCCATTCAAGAACTCTCTCCGCAGGTCCTCTCAGTCACATGTGTGAAGAGGGGGTGGTGTGCGATTTTCAGCTGGGCTTCCTGGCCTGGCGTCATGGCAATTAGGCCAGGTCCCTAAGAAGCCAGGGAGGCTGAGGCTCCTCAAGACAGTCTGACTTTGGCAGAAGGCCAAGGCTGGTCTTTGGCTGACATATAACTAGAGAAGGCACATAAGTCCTGGCTGGTGAAGGGCCTGAGGGCCATCTCTGGGGTGGGAGGAGGGCAAACGCTCCTGGTGACAAGGCCCAGCCTCCAGTACCACCAGAACATCAGCCAGGCTCTCTCTCTCCCTACTTTGGGCTGCAACTCAAGGCAAAAAACGGGAGGGAGTCGCCTCAGGTAAAGGCGTGAGCAGAACTGCCAGATGGGCTTGCAGCAGGCGATAGCCAAGGAGGCCCAGACCACCCAGGGCAGAGCCTGCCAGGATGCTGCTGGGGGAGGGAAAGGAGACCTCAGCACAAGGGCTCTCAAAATGGCAGGGTCAAATTCTGCCCTTACTGCATTCAGAGTCTACTGCAGGAGCCTGAGGGACAGGCCAGGAAGGCCACAGCAGCCAGCCCCCAGCCGTCCTCGCTGCATCTTCCACCTTGAGTTCAGAAGCTCAAGCGAGACTGGATCCCGGGCTCAGAGCCCTGTCCTCGTCCCTTCTGTTCCCCCAAACCTCTTGGGGGACCAGCAGCACCAGGAAGCCCAGGGAAGGAGAAGCCAGGGGGCTGGGGCTGCCCTGGAGACCCCATCACATTAAGGTAGAAAGACATGGACTCACCCCATCTGGGGGCCTGCAGGGCAAGGCTGGCCCAGTGGAGGGAGGGGGCTGGGCATAAAGGAGAGCAGATGCTAGTCAAGCTTCCACTTCATGTAAACAAAGGGTGACCCCCTGCCCGGCCACGACAGTCTTGTGGAGGCGTGTGATTGTCTTGAGATGCTGTAGACCCTCACATCTGGGATACAGGGTCCCTGAGGCCAGGATGGAGGCTGCTGGGGCAGGAGGCCACTAGGCGTCCGATGTGCAAATCGGTGCAGGGTTTGACCTGTGTCTCCACAGGACAGGATGGGGGCATCCACAGGTCCTGCCAACAGCTGGCCCGCAGCTCACAAAATCACACAATTGCTGGCCTTGGCAGGACTGGAACTTGTTTTACCTGCAGAGACAAGGGACACAGGCGGGGGAGGATGTAGGTAAAGTGCTCCCTGGGCTGGCCTCCAGCCCCTCTACTATGCACCACCCACACCGCAAATTTGGGTGGTTGGGTCACTGTCTCCTTCCTAAGCTGCTGAAACCAGGTCAGCAGGTCCTCAGAAGAGCAAAAGGAAAGATTCTCCCTGTCCTGACAGCCTCAGCAAGACCACCACTGGTTGGGGCATCAGGGATCTGCCATCTTCTGACCTCACGGGGCGATTCACCAGTTACTAATACCCTGTGCTGCGTCACAGCTCACAAGCGCGACCGCAGTCACTGTCAGTGACCCTCAGCGTGGCCCTGCCGCAAGGGGGCATCCTCGGCCCGACCTGACAGTGGGGGACAGTGGGGACAGTAGCCCCCAGAGCCGGGCAGCGCCTGCGCCACTGCCTGCTCTGCCGAGCCCCATCTCAGCTCTTCCCACCACTCAGGCCACCGACGTGGAAGGGGCAAAGCGGTGCCTCAGGAGGGGCCACTAGGCTGACCTGGAGGGAGCCAGGCATGGTGGCGCGGACCCCAGGCTTAGGGGCGCGGGGCACACCCTTCACCGAGAAGAAAGAGGTGGAGAGACACAGCTCTCCTCTTCCCAGGCCCCTTCCATCCGTGTCCACTGCCTTTACACCCCAAGCAGAGGCCGGCTGTGTTCCTGCCCTCAGACCAGCGCCTCGTGTCTGTTGCGGGGAGTCCTCCTGGGGCGCTGGCCGCCGTCTCCTGGGCGGCCGCTGACCTCTTTCCTGCCGGTTCCTCTCCACACCGCCAGGGCCAGGGTCATCTCCCGGCACTCACACCACCTTCCCGTATCACCTCAGCTGTGAATTTCACAGAGGTGGTGTTGGCCTCCTCTCCCGGGCCATTAGCAAGAGAGACGCTGAACAGGCCTGAGTAGGGCCCTTCCCTGCCCGGCCAGTGGGACCCAGGCCTCGGGACTTGCTGCGGGTCCAGCTGAGCCTCCCTGGAGGCCGTTCTGAGAGCAGCTAGAGCGTCGATGAGGTGGGAAGGGAGCCAGACGGTGATGCCCACCTCCCTGTGGCTCCAAGGGCCCGGAGCTGGGTCAGCCTCCACGGGTGCTGAGGCTGCCTCCGCTGCCCTTCCCGTGCCGCAGTCCCCTGGCTGCCGCAGGACACGTCCGTCCCCACTTCCTGTCCTCAGCGGCTTGCTGTACTTGCTTGGCCTACTAAGCAGATGCCGAGTTTCTCCCCAGAGGCAGCAGAATTTTGGAGGCAGGTGAGAAAAGTCCTCTGGGCTCCAGAGGCCAGGGAGGAGTGGCCGCATGGGCTGGGGGCAGCCGGGGCAGAGCAGGTTTGCGGCCAGCTCCCCACACTCCCACCCACTCTCCGAGGCCGGATGCGAGCCTGGACACGGGCCTCTCGCTCAGAATTCACCTCCACGCCTCTGACGGGAGGCCGGGCTGAGGACCAAGCCCTCGAGCCCACCCCTCCTGTGGCGCACAGACCGGAGCCCGCTGCCGCCTGCAGCACACGCTGTGGCCAATCACACCTGCTCAGATGAGTGGAGGAGAATCTATCAACAGCCCCACATTTCTACTTTTTACAAAGTGTATGTGGCACGGGCGGCCCAAAGGAGGCTCATGAGAGAAAGTCAAACTTCAAAGGAAGAAGTGAGACTGGACATGGGGGCGGGAAGTGGAGGAGAGGCGGCCTCAAGGAAGGCCTGGAGCATCGGGCCCCGGTCCGACGGTCAGGACCTGGCTGGTCCGGCTCGGCAGGCAGGAGAGGGGACAGTGGTGTAGACGGCTCACAAGGACAGTGAGCTCTACCTCCCTATAGGCTTCAGGACCTCACACTCCCCTTTTCTGGAAGATTCTTCCCCTGGATATCCACATGGTTCTCTGCTTCCCATCATTCAAGTCTCTGCTCAAATGCCCCTTTGTCAGAGAGGCCTTCCCTGATCACTCTTCAGGAGAAGGTCCTTGCTGTCCCTGTCCCCCTCCCAGTACATAAGAGCAGGGGCAAGCTCACTTTGTCCACTGCTACACCAGGAATTTAGGACAGTGCCTGGCACAGAGCAGACACCGCACAGATAGACATGTGTTGAAAACAATGAACGATCAGGCAGCAGCAAGCTACGTAAGGGTTCATACCAATCTAATAACAAGAGCAACTGCAGTGGCATCAGTGGGTGGTGACTGGGTGACGTACATGCCCTCACTCACCTAGATGGTGACGGAAGCCGCAGCCAGGCCCGAGAGACCAGCAGGGCAGGGGATTTTGACATCTGCCAACGAGACTAAGGACGCCTGCCTCTTCTCTGGAGCCCAGTGGGATCAGCTCCTCGAAGGATGCCCACTCAGCTCCCCTCTCCTGTGCCATGTGACCGAGACCTTGGCTGGTAACAGTGCTCAGGTTTATGGAATCCGAGCACGGCCTGAGGACATCCGCTGGGGTCTGGCCTCAGGAGCGACACTGAGTTCTGGAGCTCCGTCTTGGCAAGACAGCTGCTGAGTAGGCTCACCCTGGAGCTGAAGGCCCCCAGGTCCCTTACGGAGCTCTGAACCCCGGCAGCACCTCCCCAGCCTTCCATCCCAGGCAGGGGCCCAGCCTTCCAGGAGAGAGATCTGAGACCTCCACCCCAGGGATGACACAGGCAAATCTGAAGTTCCCAAATCCAGGAGCCAGCGAGCACGGCGCTAGGAGCCAGACCACACTGCCAGCCAGGGTGGCCCATCCACGCACCACTCAGGGGAACCTGGGAGAGTTCTGGCAAGGCAACTGTGGCTGCAGTCACCTCAGAGAACTCTGGGGACAGAAGTGTGGGCTCAGGGGCCCTCGGAAGGTGGTGACCCAGAGGCACTCTCCTCTTCCTCCGTACCGGGGGTGGGGGTGGGGGCGGGGGGCGGGGAGCCAGTCAGGTACTCAGGCCTCTGGCCCTTCCAAACAGCCTTTAAAGACATAGGTAGCTGGTGTCAACCCTAACCTTCCAGAGATGGCCATAACGCTCTGGCAGGCCCTGGGAGGCAGGAGAGCCCACCGCCCTTTTCTCACTCATGACCGTGGGCACAGGGCCTCGCCTCTCTGCACCTCTGGGGTCTCGTCTTGAAACAACGTCATCAGGCAGGGTGGCTGTGGGTTCTGGGTGAGAGCATTTAGCACCGTGTCTACCCAGCACACGCCAGGTGCTCAGCCAAAGTCTGTGCCTTTCTTCCTCCTCTTACCGTGCACGAGAGTGTTGGCCTTGTCCCAGGGATTTCCCCAGGGGGACCAGGAGGGGTTTCAGGACATCACCTGGAACCCCCTCCCCCAAACTGGCAGCCCCCGAGGGCAGAGCCCTGTCACCTAATCTGCTGCTCTGAGGACCCCTATGTGGGAAAACGCTCGGGGTGCTCGTTTAAAATGCAGATTCCTGAGCCCAGCCGAGCGGGACAGACTCGTCACTCTTTTGACAAGGCTCTCCAGTGACTGCTGGTCCCTGAGGCTGGATCTCTGCCCCAGAGTCCCGAGCTCCTGGATGGGCACAAGTGGCCGGCTCAGGAAAGGGGCCAATTGCAGGAGCAAGGACTTCACTGAGAGAAAAACCAGGAGAGGGTGCTTGGCTTCCACCAGTAGGGGGGGCTGTGAGCCTTCAAACCACCTGGCTGCCCACGGCTGGACTGCCAGACCCAAAGGAAGGGATTTCTGAAGGTTCTCCCAAGGGCCACACTTGGGTTTGCAAAAATTTGCATGCTGTTTGACAACTATATACTTCTTATCAAGTAATTGTACAGGCTGTCAGCTCTTAGCTTTTCTATTTTTCTCTCTTTTACCCACCCTGTCATCGGCCTGGGTTCTCCCTTCACAAGAGGGCAGCAGGGACAGAAAGGACAGTCAGAATCAGAGCTCAGAGGGGCCTCTTGAACCCTCCCTGGATCAACCCCTCCTCTTCTCAACCAGGAAACAGCCCCGGGGAGGTGAAAGGATGTGTCCAAGGTGTGGGGAGCAAGGTACTGGGGGCTGAGATCCATCCGATGGCTGGCCTGATGATGCTCTGAACGATCCCTGTAGGATTCACTGTAGGACAGGGATCCCTTCCCTGGATGGGGCCCTAAGGGAATAGCTAAAGTGATTTCCTCCCAGATGACGGTTCCCAGTGTACTAGGATTGCTAGTTCCAACCTTGGGGACCCCCATGCTGCCAGGAACATGAGCCTCTGGCACACAGAGTCCTGCTGATAAGCTGCTGCCTGAGAGGACGCACTAAACCAGTCAAATGTTCGGGAGGCTGGAGGCCACAAAAAGGGGCTTTGGGGAGGGGAGTCTCTGCTTCTTGCCCTGCCTTCGAGGGAAGAAAGCAGAAGGGAGAGGAAAGGTCTCTTAAGGGACTTGAATTCCAGGCCCTCAGGGCTGGATGCCCATCCAGGTACACAGAGGCTGTGCTGGACGAGGCCACGCTGTGTTTCCTTATGATGGAGCAGGAATAGGGTGACCTTGTGGGCCATCCCTCGTGCGTACCGCTGCACTCTTGCACTTGCCCTTCTCTCTCTGTCTCTGACTCTCTCTCTCTGGGTGCCAGGCACTCAGGAGACGAGCTGGTACAGGGCACTGTCCCTGGCTGTTTGGCTGGCTCCTGGCACCCCATGCAAACACTCAGGGAGCAGCGGAAGTGTCAGTGACCTGTTCAAGTCATCCAAGCAGGGGAATCTGATGCTGAGACTCACCAAAGGAGGCAGGAAGGGATAAGACAATGGCCTTTTGTTTCTATGGAAACAGCACCTCAGGGTGAGGGGCTGAAGGAAGAGAAAGCTTCTACTTCACCTCCAGTCAGGACGTGGGAAAGAGCCCCTTTTGTGGTTGGGCTCGCCCCTCCCCCTCTCTTCCCTGCCAGGTGTTCACCATGGCAACCCTTCTTCCAAACAAGAGGTGCAGGGCAGCAGAAGCATCCGGTGCTGGGGGAGCCAGGGAGCCCAGGGGGATGGGCCGGGCCCAGCTACCCCTCCCTGACAGGACACGGGCCCTGGCCTCGGTTTGCGTCCCGGCCCCACTATCACTTACTGTGCCCTGGGACCACTTAATTCACCTCCCTGAGCTTCCATCTGCCACCTCCGTGGTTCCTGTGAGGGCCAAGTGAGAGAGAGAGCACCTACTGAAGGACCCGGCACATGGAGGTGCTCAGTAAATGCTTCCTGGCCAAATGCAGCTATAGCCCTGGCACTGCTGCTGTGCCCAAATTCTCGGAGACTCCAGGCCTGTCCTAACTTTAAGAGGCACAGACTGAGTGCGTCAGGCTCTCTAGCAGGGCTGGGGCATCAGTGTTTGGGAAGACTTGCACTCCAGCCAATGTCAGGTCAAAGCTGGGGCCTTGAGGGACACAGGAATTCTGGGAGCACTCAGGCTGCCCAAGGTAAGTCCCTGCCATTACCTACCTGGCCAGCCAGGGAGCCCAGCCTCACCGCTGCAAAGCCCCACAGCCATGGAGGGAGACACCCCAACATGGAAACCCCTTTGACTCAGCAATGCCGACATGAGAAAAGGTGCCAGCAGTGGCCCTGGCTGTCACCACCAGCCAGAAAAGGCCACTCTGGAGACTGTTCCAGAGAAAGAGATAAAGGCAGAGAGACAGCCAGAAAGATGCCACCACCAGGAACAATCTCTCCCAGAAGTAAACAGCCTGGCAAATACCACTGATCAAATAAACACAGGGAGGAGCCGTGTCAAACTACTTACAACAGAAACAAGGAAAAGTGGGTCAGGGCATTGGTGCGGTGTGTTTGAGCAGGTCAGATCCTGACGGCAACGGATCCAGCAAGGAACAAGGTTTGCTGGAACAAGCCCTAGAGTCAGAGCCCTAGTCTCAGACTACTCCGTGCCCAGCACTGTTCTGAGCACTTCATATCCGCAGAACAGCTGGGCGAGGCAGGCATCCCTTTCCCCTTTTAGAAAAGAGGAAACTGAAACTCCGGCCTGCAGTGGCTGGCCCCAGGCCACACGCAGGCAAAGGCCAGAGCAGGATGGGAATTGAGGACCACAGGGCCCAGAGCTGATGTGCTCTCCCTGCCGGGAGGCGGCCTTCTTACAAAATCAGCAGTGCTCCTGGACCAGGGCCAGAGGCCTGAGGAGCCCTGGGCCCAGTGGGAGGGGCTCACCTGAGACGTCGTCGCCGCTGGAGCCCTGGTTGGGCCTCTTCCCCGCCATAAACTCCGCTTCGGCCAGGGCCTCGGGGGAGGGGGTGCTGGCTGTGCTCTTGGGCGCTGCGGGCCTCTTGGACCGCCGGCTGAAGAACCTGCTGCTGAAGCGCCTGCCCTCCTTGGCCGCGGTGGCCTCCCCATTGGCAGCTTCTCCCCTGCCATTTTGGGCAAGGGCCTCCCGGGGTCTGGGCTTCAGGTCCACACGCAGGTGGGAGAACACCCTGCCATTCCGACTCGGCTCTCCCGAGAGAATGGGCTCCACGGGGGGCAGCACCTGCTCCAGCGTGACTAGGTCGTGCAGGAAACTCTCCAGGCGCTGTGCTGACTCGCCGCCCTTGCTGCCCTCCTCCTGCCCCTCTGCATTGCGGCTGGCCTCCTGCTGCTGCCGGGCAGCCCAGCGCATCATCTCCCCGGGTGGGTGGTGGCTGCCCGTCACCAGGGTGTACTTGGGGTTGATAAGCTTGCGAGCCACAGTGGAGGAGTAGTTGAGGCCCAGCCTGCCAGCGCCTCCTGCCAGGCCCAGCTGCTGGTACAAGTCCACCTCCTCGGAGATGGCGTACAGCTCCCGGAACTCCACGTCGAAGGGCTCCACGTTCTGCCCCGTCAGTAGGAGGAGAAGGTTCCTGTCCACATGGGAGGAACTCCAGGTGAATCTGGGAACATGGGGACAGAAAAGCAACATACATGTGCCCGGGCCTGCAGCCTCGCCCTGCCAGCCGCCCCTCGGTGAGCCCATCTCAAACCCCACTGCCCAGCCCGACCTGCTCCACCACTGAGGCTGGATGCCTTGCTGCCTTCGTGCTGGGGTGCTCTCCCTCCACAGACCCAAATCCTCCCTTGGTCCAGGTCTTGGCCTCAAATGCAGAAAGCAGGCAGTGGGTGCAGGGCAAGGGCAAGAGAAGTCAGGTCTGGATTCAAACCGGCTTTCTGCCCTGCGTGCCTTGTCAAATGGGGCTTGTAAGGTGTAGCCACAGAGTTGCTGTGAGGCTCAAAGTCCAATAACGAATATAAAAGGTTTCGCTCAGTACCTGGCACAAACATACATTTAATGAGTAGTACCTATAGCTGCCACTACTGTTAATAGTATTCCATTCCTTAATAGTTCTCCTCTGAATTTTTAGAGCACCTAGCCTCTGCAAAAACCCATACTTCAACCACATAAGAGGACTGACGCCATTTATTAATTGTTTCATGTGCCCGGGTCTCTTCCAGCCTCAAAAGGCAACCAGCTGTTGTGGACCATGCAAGGCAGGCAGTGCTTAATGCTCAACAAAAGTTGACACTCTTTCTTGAATAATCCATTAGCCAGAAAGTTTGAGGGAAGGGACTGGCCAGGAGGCTATTCTTTGCTGTCAGAATAGACAAGAGCTCTTAAACTCATGATTGTGGAGGCTCCAGTCCAGAATCTTTCTGAACATGAACACTTCTGACCACGAACAAAGGCCTCCCAGGCCCTTCTCTGACCTGGCCCAACTCACCTGTAGGATCCAGTGGCTACTTTATCACCATCTACCATTAGGAACTTGGATGACAGGGTCCCCTTGATCTTCCCCATGGGCATGTAAAAGCCAACACCTGTCACAGAGCGGACACGGATGTTCTGTTGAGAAGAGGAGAAAGGCACTGTCACTCAGGTTGGGGCCCTAGAGGCTCTAAGCTGAGTCTCTGCGTGGGTGGAGGATGAATCCTCTTGTCCACGGGACCCTGACTCTGCTTCCTATGGCCTGAGGAAGTCAGCAAATCTGGCCTTGGGCTCAGACGGGCTCAGGGTGGCCCCAGTCTGCTCTCAAAGCTCTTCAGAAGAGAAACACAGCCCTGCCTTCAACCCTGACAGTGACTCTGCGGGCTGAGCGCCCGGGACTAGGCTGCAGCTACCTCCTTAGCCTCAGCAGCCTTGGGATAAGACGTAAGCCAGTCGTGCAGTCCGGGCCATCCGTCCATGAGGCAAGGTTTTAGACAGAAGGGAAGGGGTTGAGAGTGCTGTTCACCTGGGCCCCTGAACTGGGGAGCAGGCAGAGGGAGGGGCAGAGGCAGTCTCCATCCCACTTCCTTCCCCCCTCCCACCCGCAGTCCCAGTGATACAACTTACCCGAATACGGAAGTCAGCGAGCTCCAGGCCCTGACACATCTCCAGGAAATACTTCACGCCCGCCTCGTCCAGGATGATGTACACTGGCACGCGGCGCTTGGAGGCAGCATCCACAATGTCTTGGAAGATCTCACCATCAGTGAAGAGGTCCATGACCACAGCAATGACCTGGACAGGGAAGGGCACTAGTGAGGCACGTGGTGACTACACACATACAGAGTCACACTGCGGCCCGCAGAGGACCAGCTGGGCTGGGGTAAGTGCTGGCCAAGAGTCAAAAATGCCATCTGCACCACTCCTGGGTTTTGCACATCCCCACCCACCTCTGAGCACATGTGAGCGGGAGATGGGCTCCCTGCTCTGGGAAATGAAGATGGTGCAGACGGTGCAGGCCATGCTGCTTGTACTTCATCCTTGGCAAATTCCCACCACCCACCCTGGGGATTTTCCAGCAGCTCTTCAGAAGCCACGTCAGTGGAGATCTAGGAGGCTGAGGAAATTTGGTTCTGGTGCCTTCGGGAAATAAGCAGGTTCAAGGAGCTGCAGTCACTGAGAGGCATGAAATGGACCATTTCCACAAGCTGCAGATCTGCTCAGATACAACTTTCTTTGCAGACCTGGGTGCTTTGATCTCCCCGCAGCTGTACAAAGCCCTGTGCTTCCCTGAGCACAGATTCGGGCAGAGCTCCAGTTAGCTCGGGCTCCCTTGGCCTCCAGGTGTCCAGACCATCCCACTTCATCCTCAAATCAAGGTCCCTGCCTAGGACCCTTGATTTCCAAAAGCCAGCCTTGATTATCCATCCTGGAAGGCGAGGCCTTCCGCAGCCTGAGGCAGATTTGCCTTTCTGACCCCAGCCTCCTCCACTTTCCTACACAAACCTTCTGCTCCAGAGGCAGGGTGTTCTTGTTGGCCCCAAGCACTGTGCCCATGATGCAGAGGAAAGTATGTGCTTTGGGGTCAGAGAGATTTGATTATAACCACTTTCTATTTATGTAACCTTAGGCAAATCCCTTAACTTTGATGAGCCTCTGTTTCCTCATCTGCAAAGTGGGGATACTCTGTACTTGATACATTTGGCATCAGGATTAGAAATAACATCTGTAAGCATCAACAATGCCTGACATGTAGGTAAGTCTTCAATAAATGGTAACCATTGTATGGTCGAAGGAGTCTGCTTGTCGTTGTAACTGAAAGCCCGAACGCTGAAGCCAGGCAGACCAGGCCTGGTTCACTAACTCCACTGCTGACTCATCAGTGCCCCAGCTTCCTTGGCAGCAAAATCGAGCTCATAGTAGCACCTGTCTCAAAGGGTTGTTGAGAAGGCTTAGAGAAGCAAACTGTGAAAGCGTTTAGCACGGTGCCGGCACATGTTAAGCTCAATAAGTGTATCCTCCATCACCATCATCACCATCACAATCACCGTCACCTTCACGTGTGCTCTGCCATTACCTCTGCCTCTAAAGACCACCCCCAACACCATTTACACAGTATCACATAAGGCCCTTCTTACCTCCTACATTTAATACCCAATCATTCATACAAGTAACATTTACAAAGCCCCACAGGCAGAGGGAGGATCTAAGGACAAACTATAGTCCCTAACTTCAAGGGGTTAATCCAGTTGGAATCATAAGACATTCGCACAAAATAATAAGATATAAGGTAAAACGAGATAAATGCCTTAAGAGATGCACAAATGATGTGTGATGTGAGTTCTAAGGAGGGGTGGTAGGAAGAGAAGGAGGGACTTAGGGAGGGGGAAGATTGAAAGATTACTTTCAGCAGGGGAGAACAGGAAAGGTTTCACTGAGGAAGCTGAAACCTGAAGAATGGGCAGCCTTGGGTGCCATGAGAAATGAGCAGGGAATAAAATCGAGCAGGGAATAAAACCAAGCAGGGAAGTGGGCAGGGCTGCCATGCATGGGTATGCAGGTTGTGCACTGCACACAGGCACTGGGCTGATGGGGGTGAGTGGGAGCTGTGCCTGCCTGAGGAAGAGATGCCTTTTCCTAATCTGCGCACAGGTGCCACATGGGCTACCAGGGGCCTAGGAGGTGAACATTTCAGGCAAAGAAAACAGCACAAGCAAAGAAACTGAGGACAGGCATGACTGACAAAAACAGAGGAGATGCAAATAAAATACTGAATGAAGAAAGAGAAATAACTACAGATATATTTACTTTTTAAGAAATTCTTACTATTTAAGAAATGGTAAAAAGACTAGGAATATTTACACATTGATGACTTTGAAAAGGAAATTGACATGGGTAAGTCATTAAAAGTGAATTAAACAGGGCTTCCCTAGTGGTGCAGTGGTTGAGAGTCCGCCTGCTGATGCGGGGGACATGGGTTCGTGCCCTGGTCCGGGAGGATCTCACATGCCGTGGAGCGGCTAGGCCCGTGAGCCATGGCCACTGAGCCTGCGTGTCCGGAGCCTGTGCTCCGCAACGGGAGAGGCCACAATGGTGAGAGGCCCGCGTACCGCAAAAAAAAAAAAAAAAAAAAAAAAAGTGAATTAAACATATCAACTATAGTTCAGTTTTTTAAAAAGTAAATTAAATATAATACAGCATAATCAAGCAAGGTTATCCTAAAAATGAAAGGATTATTCAACATCAGAAACATATCAATTTATAGTGTCAAAGAGGGAAAATCATATATTATCTTGATAAGTTTTAAAAAAGTATTTGATAACACTATTTGTGATTAAAACTCTCAAAAAACTAGGAATAGATGGGACCTTCCTTAATGTCATAAAGGCTATCTACTAAAAACCCTCATGAAACGTACTTAAAGTTGCATTCCCTTTAAGTCTTAAGCAAGTCAAGAATATTCACTGATCACCACTGCTGTTCAACAAAGTATTGGTGGTCCTGACCAATGCAACATGACAAGAAAAAGAAATGAGACAGAAGGATTAGAAGAGACAAAACTACCAGTATTTAAGGATGATATTTTAAAAAAAAACAAAAAACAGAAGAATGCAGAGAAAAACTATCAGAAGTAATAGGAGAATTTGGCAAGATTGCCAGATACAAGAAAAACTTACAAAAACCAATAGCATTCTTCTACTACAGCAATAACCAAATTAAAAAAAGAAAAGAAAAGAAGGTCCATTCAAAATTGCAACTTAAGCACATAGTATTTAGGAATTAATACCTTTATGGAGAAATTTAGAAAACTCTATTAAAGGACAGTTACAAATATTTGAATAAATGAAAAGATAAATTGTGTTCATGGATAACATGATTTAATGTTTTAAAAATCCAGTTCTCCTCATATTAATAAAATCCCATGCAATTCCAATGAATGGTCAGTAAAATTTTTTGAGGAGTTCAAATATTTCTAAGATGTGAGGAAGAATGAAGATTCAAATAGCTAAGTCAATTTTGAAAAAGAAAAGCTAAAAGGGGACACTTGTCCTACTAGACAGTAAGACATACTGCAGAGCCAAATTAAGAAGAATTGCGATACTGAGATAGGAACTGACAAATAGACCATGGGACAGAATAGAGAGACCAGAAATATATAGGTACCTACACACATACATAAAACTTTAACTTAAAGTCTTAACTTTAAGGCAGAATCACAACTCAGTGGAGAAAGGATGCTGTTTAGTAGATGCTATTGGGACAATTGGCATACTAAATGGAGAAAAATTAAATGGATCCCTACCTCACACCATATATAAAGGTGAATTTCAGGTAGGCTGTATACCTAAATGCAGAAGATACAACTAATAAAGGAATTCATGAAATATAGGAAAATATCTTCATGGCATAGGTAAGATAGGATTTCTTAAGATTCCAAAAGCATGAATCATAAGACAAATAAAAATTTAAATGAGGCATTTGGCAAATTAGGGATTTTCTGTTCAAAGAAAGATGTCAACAAAGATAACTGACAGGGAGAAGATATCTGCAATGTCTACAACCAAAAGAAACTAATAATACACAAGAGATGCCTGCACATCAGCAAGAAAAAGACAGAAAACTAATTAGAATAATGGGCAAAGGATATGAATAGGCAATTCCTAGAGGAGATACCTGAATGGCTAATAAGTATGTAAAGAGAAGCAGACCTCATTAGTAAGCAGAAAGATTCAAATTAAAGCAAAGAGACAGTAATAACTGCACATGAAGTGTAACCTTTAAAAATTGTATAAAAAATTTAAAATAAATTTTAAAAAAGCAATGAGATAAGAGAGACACCACTTTACAACTATAACATGAACTAAAAACTAGAAAGTTGGATAGTCCTAAATGTTGGCGTGTGAGGAAAGGGGAACCCTCATTCACTGAGGGTGGGAGGGAGCACTGGTACAGCTGTTTCTTAGGGCAAGGGGCAGAGCTCCGTGGATTTAAGGTTGTGCATGCCTGGAAGCCAGCAATGCTACTCTTGGCCACACACCCAGGGAACCTCTTGGATCTTCGCACAGGTCTATAAGGGGGCAGGAACAAAGACATTCACTGTAGCTTTCTTCGGGATAGCAAGGAGTTGGCAGCAACTTGGATGTCCATCTCTAGCAGAACGGATGTGGAGAATGTGAGGGATGCTCAGGACAGAGTGCTCTGCAGCAGACAGAAACAATGAACGAGTTCCATGTGCAGAACCTGGGTAGTTCTTTTTAAGATGAATGTTAGAGATAGAGATCTATAGCCTAATACCATTTATGTAAATAAAAACACACTACACAAAATAACCCTGCACGTTTTTCAAGGATATGGACGTGTCCAAGGACATACACTGAATATAGGAGGGTGGCTGCCTATGGAAGGAGAAAGGGACGGGAGGGAAGGACAGAGTAAAATAAGAGGGGCCTTCCCTGGATTGACGATGGCAGCGGACCATGAACTGAGGCTCACAATCAGCTCTGCACTTGAGGTCCAAAACAAACAGACAAACAAACAAAAAACAATTGGCCTGGAACAGTTCAGGGTAGATGTAGCGTAAGGACAACGGGGTGGGGCTGGATCACGGAGGGTTTTAACAATCCACTTTAGGCTTCATTCCAGCAGAACACAGCTCGCACCACCTCAGAGGCCTCCTGATAGCTCCCAACTGCTGCCTGAGGCCAGAGTCTACTGTTTGCTCATTTCCAGACTCTCCACAGTGTCCAGCTCAAAGCTGACACTCAGTATGTCGCTGGGGAGGGCTTCACTGGCTC